TTTGCCATTATTTTTCTGCGTATGTTTTCTACGCTAACAATTACCAGAGAGCCTGCTGGATGTGCTTTTGTACAAAGAGACGTTCTTTTCATACGTGTTTATTTACCTTTTATTTTTAGTCTTGAAATGAGTTCCCAATACATGTTTTTGTTGTCTCTGTGCTTCTCACAAGCTTGAATAAACAGAGGAAAGCAGCTTGGGTTGGTTTTATCCCCATTCCTGTTCTGGGGGCATCACTGCCCATACAAGATGCAAATGCTGCCAGCAACTAATTGTATTAAAGCACAATTAACCACAGTTTAACACATCAGAAATTTTCCTTGGGATCTTCAGTCTTGAAGTCACTTTTCATGAAATCTGAGTAAAAGACTAATCTTAATTTTACAGTGTCCTTTCAACTACACCTCTAGATGAACAATCACATGGGCCTATGACACGTCCCACGGACACCAAGCGTCCTGCTCCTTTATCTTCCCTCGGACCTTACTGGTTTTGTTTGCCCAGACAAAAGGACTAAATTGCAAAAAAACAGGAAAACTGCTAGAGTCTGTCTCAATGATAAACATTAATTAATCTCCAAAAGACAAGAATCTTGAGTTTGTGTGTCTATATGATGAACCAGGCAGGGTGTCACCCATCTGGTTTAGTTTGTGAACTACTAAGACTCACAAAGGGAGCAACTACCACAACTAAGAGCAGCATTTCTAGATTCTACAAATACGCTCAGAAAATTTTGCTTTATTATATATTCTAATTCGTGACTGATTTTGCTAAAGGGACCTTATCAAAACCTGCTTTTAATTTTCACAAACAGGAAATGTTTTAACACATGAACAAGGAAGTTTGGAGGCTTGTCCCAAACAAAAGGCACAATCTTCCAAGCTTCTGTCAGGTTTTTATTTTCCTGAAACGATAAATCAGCAAACATGGGTGACTGCATTTTACGAAGTTCTTGCTTCAGTTTACTGGACCTAAGGGAAAAACTGTAACAAAAGCTGCAATTAATACATACACTGACTGTCCAGGCCCTCGGCCAGCCGGGTCAGCTGTGCCTGCGGTCCCTGAGCTTTCTCAGGACACTTAATGGCCCCGATCTGTAGATAATGGATAAATCTATAGAATAAACCAGCAATACAATCTCCTGTGCCAACCAAAGGGACTCCAGGAACAGGAGGATACACTCTGGCCATGACCAGCAACTCCAGAACAGATGGAAACAACAGGATGAAGATGAAAAATAATTTTGGCGTTGGGCTTTTAAGATTTAAGGGCAAGTGACAGTGGGCAACTCCTTTTGGTAGCAGGGCATTTGCAGGAGCCGGTGCATCCATGCTTCCCATCACGCTGGGGGAAATAGAAGTTTTTTGCATAAGAAGGTTCTTTCCCTGCTGCGTATTTCCCCCTCCTTCCCAGGAGAAAGACCAAAAGCCATTTGGTTGATGGACTTTATGCAAGGTTTAAAGGAAGGTTACCCAACTGCCTTCAAGTGCAGGCCACGTACTTTTAGCACATCAGACACGCATAAAGATCCGTGGGCAAAATTCCAGCACAGCTCATTTCACAATTGCTCCTATCTTATAAAATGGGCTCTGCTAATTTCAAAGAGTCCTCGTCTGAGATTGTACAGTTTTGATCTGGGAAGTAAAAGGCATTCAACAGCAGAAAATGGCTGCAGTTTTTTTTTGGCAGGGATATGATCCCTTCATCTATTTAATGGCCCTTGGTACACTTCTGAATCAATAAAAGCTTTACTACTGAAAACAGCACGTATGAACATCTTTGGTAATTAGATTTTTTTTTTTTTTTTTAAGATTGCGCTTTCAATAGCCAAACCCCTTAACAGATAAAATTCATGATAGGAAAAACTGAATCGAAGGATATGATCTATAAATTAAATTTTCCATACTGAAAACGCACAAGTGACTCAACGTTGTGGAATTATCACACTTGTGAAGAACAACCATTGTAAATGCTCTGAAAATTTATCACTAGGCAGTAAAGAGAACTGCATTGAGCAAGTGTCATCATTTAGTGCTGCACAAATGCTCCAATTGCAGCTGATAAATATAGCAAGAGATGGCTTCATTTCCAGAGACACTAGCTTCTCTGGCATCATCCTTGGTGATACTGATGCGTGCTAATCCTTGGTTAAATATCCATTTAGCATCTTCAAGGGCCATAAAACAAGAACAATAGTTCATTTCCAGCTAAACATAACCACACTGTTTTTGGAAACATTCAGAAAACAAACAACCCCAAGTGATATGCGACTCCTGATAGACTAGCTTACAGTGGACTTTGGTCCAGTTGCCAACTCAACCAGATTTACTTCCTTTTTTCGAAAAAAAGCATGATTGTAATTGCAGTAAGTCTCTCATAGTCAGTGTCTGCTCAGAGGAAATGTCTCAACACTATATACAATCAAGGAGAAAATAACACTCATAGATGTAGAAGCAGCGGCAGGAACACACTGGTTACGCCAAGACTGTACAGAAAGTACCTTCAGATCCTTGTTTCAAAGGCAGTGCTTCCGAGAGCAGAACCTTCATCTACGTAAGGGATCATTTCATTTCTGAAATGGATTGTTTTCTGAGAATAAGTGTCATTAACAGCAATACTGAACAAGTGATTCAACTGAGAAAATACCACACTAACCTTTTGTAAACAATAGAAGAGTTTCAGATGAAAATGTAGTTCAGGCACAATCTGCTTATCAGAAGCATTGGCGTTACCGTTTCCTTTCTTTTCAGAAATTCTGTGAACCAACAACTGGATTCACCTTCTGAAGTTCTATTTTACTTCTAAGCAGCAATCTACCTGCAAATACACATGTCCAAGCAACAGCAAGCTCAATTTTGACCTCTTACTCCTGTCCGTTTGTCTCAGGAGTTGTTACCCCTGTGGTGACGACATGAAAGATTTTTGCCTTTGACTTTCCACTCTGTTAGCCTTAAGTCTTGCATCAGCTAAAACCTAGCAGTAGGATAGATCTAAAATACACTGGCATACATTCAAATAGTATCAACAAACAGGTGCATCACAGATGGAGAACATTCTAGAAAAAAAGCTCTTATTCAACTCCAAGTAAAAAGCCCAAATATTTTCTCAAATATGAGTATTCTCTCTTCCTTTCCGTTTTAAACCTTGGTGTTACGGTCTGACACATGCTGGGAGTGCTTCCTCTAGCAGTAACATATCAGATGAGCCACATCTCCAGCAGAATTTACCTTGCTAAACTCAGTTCGTATCCTGTGCAAAAATTTCCCAAGACCTTTCTGCCATTAGCGTCAGCAGTTATTTGGGTTCACGATGGAATCCACCTTCCTAAAAAGCCATGAAATAAGTTGATATGAAACTCCACCGTATTTCTACTAGAAAGTGGGTTTCAGGATGGCTTCAAGTTCATTCCCTTCTTAAAGGGAAGAAACCTAGTGGCACATTTGCCACAACTTGTAAAGAAAACCAAAGACTCATCCCCCTCCGTATTGACACCGCCACAGCACAGGGAACCGTTACACCATGGGAACCGAGGCGTTTGGATGGAGCAATGACCTGGTTTTTTTCCAGCCCCAGCTACTCTGCGATTTTTACAGACTTACCAGGTTACAAAACAACATCAGAGGAAGCGATGACCGCCTGTGCTGCAGCGTGTGACTCTTCCTTTAGCTACAGGAAAGAATTTCCTTTGCTGGCGAACGCCGCGGTTTCATTCTCCACCTATGAAACTGCTGTCTGGAGACAAGCAGGCGTCTGCACCGAAGACATACAGACACGTTATTTCTTGGCCTGTTCTTACGAACTATATTTATTTTTTTAACTTGCATCTTTCCTTTTGTTTCTGTGTCTTTTGTATGACTCATATGTTGAGGGGGCCGTTTTTATCTCATGAAAACAGATCCTCTGCTTGACCTAAAGTGCCTATTGATCAATTATACACGCACAATTAAATGCTTATGTGCAGAACTACCGGCATTTACTTCAGATTCTAGCGCAACACAAAAAATTTTAACTCCAGAAATCGTTCCTTCTGGTAAGCCCTGTGCTAATAAGCAATATGCAGATGATTCTCGCTGCAGATAAAATTAATTTTCGCATTTTAACAGGTTAAATATTTTTTTTTTTTCATGAGAACACGTTATGAAATGCGAGTTCAGGCTCCTGCTGAGAGAGGACGAGGCGGGCAGCGCTGCCGCCGCATGGCTGCCAGCACTGTTGCATTGCCCCAGGTCCAGCTGAAAGCAAAAATTCAGCACGTGCCATTAAAATCTCTGTCTCTGTCTTCCTATCAAACCCTCCAGTGATGGAATCTTTACATGGTTTTCATATAATCCCATTATTTCTAAAACATTTTGAAGAAAACCTTTTATTTTTACCTAATTCCTGTTAAACTCAAAAGGACCCTTATTTACCACAGCACGAAAACCTGGAAAAAAATTATTACAGCTTGAATTTTAATTGTCTAAGCACACACACAAAAATGGAGCAATTAAATATTTAAAGAGACTTTTTTTTTTCCCACTTTAATAACCTGCAGAAGGATTCTCAGCGTAGGTAATGAGGGATCCCATGTGCAGCCACTGTGCTTTCAAGTCATCACTGATCTCACTTCAGATCTAGCAAAATTACACCACAGAAAAATGTGAGAACAGCTGAATTAATGTGGTTTAGTGCAGTAGTTCTTTAGACTTACTCGTAAGAAGGAAAGGTCTCCCTTTCTCACACAGTCACACATATTAAACGATTAAATGGACTCATTCTAAAAAAACTGAACAGAATGTTCTCAAAAGCAGAACTAAAAGGAACTTAAAACCAAAACTTAGAAGAGCTGAAATACTGAGCCTCCTTCGAACCAGTGCCATGCTGGACAAACTGCAAAGAGCTGTCGTATGTTTACTCACACGTTTCAATTTTGTAGACGGACAAATCCATTTAAGCTTAATGAAAACAGTACAGAAACTTCAAAGCAGGAAAAGAGCTATTAAAAATTATCTGACAAGAAGTGACACTTCATCTGCATCCACAGTATTTAATTTGTTTGAATAATATAGTTACAGATAAACAGGTTCACTCCATATACAATTACTGATACTTTTTTTTTTTTAATACAGCTCATATTCCAGTACATCAACACTATTTTATTTACAAGGTATTTATGTACATTAACATCTTTCTAAAGTCAGTGCATTGTCAATAAGTTTTATACAATAATTTACAAAGTGAATGTAGTTAATAGTTAACTTAATTTACTACTAATTCATGAATTAATTTAATTTAAAAAAATTAATTACAACCAACGTAACAAACACAGAAGATCAAATAACATTAGTAGATTGTGCTACCTGCTTAAATAAAACTTTTTAAAGTAAATCAGTTGAATATCTTTCACTTTTCATGGAGTTTGCAGAGGGAGGAGTAGACAAACGGGTGTCAAAAAAGCTTCTAACCTAGAAATTCACAAGTCATGTTTACTTTTCTTCAGTCTCAATGTTTAAAGATAAAAGACCATATAGGATAGGGAGCAACACTTTACAACTGAGACGATACTTGTTTTGGAACCCATCTGCTGTCCTCAGAGGCACGACCTCCAGCAAAGGCCGGGAGGTGTTTGCCTGAGTAAAGACAGCAAGATCAGCTGATACAACTTCTTAAATGGATAAAAGATCTTCCTGGTAATTATAAACTTACTGGTAGGTTTGGCATTCTTGTAAAACACATTAAAACGAATCCAAACATTTATTTCAGAGATCAACTGTATAAGTCAATTTTGTTAGCGAAGATACAAAAATCTCAAGAATTTGGATGATGACATACGAAAAAATTAGTAAGCTTCTTAGAATCAGCGGAAGAACAAAAGGCCAGAAGAGTGAAACTTTTTATCTTCATTCAGATATGCAAATAATTTAACACTGAAAATGTTTAAAGAAATGCCTACTCAGAAAATAACCATCTTTTTTTCCAGTCTCTTCTCAGACTCAGTCATGCTTTCCTTCATGCAATAAGCCTGCTGACATGTTGCAAGGGCATGGAAAGCAATTCTGGTTTATCTGCAAGTATATGCATAACCTGTTGCAAAAAAAGAAAATTTGAAAAGGCAACCAAATTTTGGAAAAAAAAAAAAGAAGAAACTCCATTAAATTATGAAACCAATAATGAAAAAAAAAAATATAAATCCATCCATGAATGCTACGATAGCTACCTGACAGCCACAGCTTCTTATTTGTTTGAAATACACAGTGGATAATTCACAGCCATTCACTCCAGAGCCCTTACAACAACAAAAACAAACCATGTTTTTGAATTTAATTATATGAATTTTTAAAAGTGCAAATTTAAAAGCAACACCAGTCATGAAACATAAGCTCAAGCATCTTTCTTTCCAAAAGCTGGGAACATTTTGTGCAATGTGCACATTTTAAGACACCGTGCGTGTAATCACAACTACTCTCTTCAACCTGAAGTTCCTTCTCGAGGCATCTCAGCAGTCTGAGATAGCTCTCTTCAGGCAGAAAAGCCATTCCTGAAACATGTTGATCTGCACAGCCAACACATGGAGAAAACACAATTATAATAAACCATTCAAGTGTAGAAATGAATCTCTTCTCAAATTATGATTTGGTTGTGCTCCCAACATACAGAAAGAAAGCAAATGACACATTAGTGGTGGCAAAACTGGAAACTTTTCTTACTCTCGATGATAATTCTTTAAGTCTGTGCACTAGTCATTCTCTTGCTTTCCCTGTTTTGCCAATAAAATGCAATAAAACTGCAGGAAAAAGGAGGTAGCAATATCGTGTTGTCCAAAGACAACACTACTTTTTTTTTTTTTTTTCCCCATTATCTTAAACCTAAAGAGAGCCTTAGGGATTTGTTAGAACAGTTGGTAAACTCTACACTACTTCGTTTAGCTCCTGTTTGGACTATTTAATTTAGCTCTTATTTGGTCCTAGTTGGCTTTTCTCAAACCATTTTATTTAAAGGCCAATGGCAGTCTCAGCCTGATGTCTAACATCAGAAACGTTTAGAGCATGTAGTGAGATAACAGAACAAAACAATACTATCTTTATATTAACTGCTATTTAATTAGGGTTTTCTTTTTGTGCTTTCAGATCACAGGGTACAATAACTACATTTAGGTTATCTGTTTCAATAACATTTTTGTCAAACGTAAGTTTCAGGATGTTATCCCTCACATTCTCAAAACAGTCCGTGGAAGATCATCCGCTTACTGTAAAACACAGTATTTCTTATAATCTGACTCAAAATCTTCATCCATGCTGCTTGTGTCTGCCATCTTTTTGCCGTCTATCTTTGGCAGAAATTGTGCATAGTCTACCCCCTGCTGCTCGTAGAAAAGAATGTAGGCAGAGTCGGTGTCGATCTCATCGGGATGCAATTCCTGAGAAAGAGAAAAACACCGTCTGAAACGCGCAACGGGACAGTGGCGTTACTCTCACAAAATACACACAATTGCCCTAGAAACAGTGGTTTTAACTGGCTGTGTAGCACAAGAAGAATCCCATTTTCTGTCTCCCCTGCTCTAGTTATCAGGCTCCATTATTTACTTGAAAAGTCTGACAAATTTTAGAGTGATAAATGCAAATACTTCGAAATGTCGGAACTTAGTTATTCAAGTAATTGAACACAAAACCGCTAGCATCACGAAAAAATATTCTTAGACTTCCATTTTTAGTAATTTTTCCATCTCTGTACAAAACAAGCATCTTTCCTTAAGCATGGTGGCAGCCGGTGAACAGATGTTGACTTGAAAAAAAAAAAAAAAATCTCATGCACAATTTCAGTTAACAATTTTAATATTTATCCAGTGCAGCTTTTAGGACTCATGATCTCAAAGAACAGTTCTCACCAAATGTAACTTCTTTTTTTTTTTTTAGCGCTAAGTAACCAACATGAAAATTATTTGCTACAAAAAAGTAAATGATTTACCTTACAGCTACTGTCATTGTAGCAGTACCACTTGTTGTTCGGGTTTTTGGCATAAGTGACATAATGACCCCCTCCCATAATTCCTGAATGGCACTGAAGAAAATGAAGAAGAAAATTAATTCTGGATCAAATAACAAACCCCAGAATTTATAGAATAAATGATTCTCAAATTCATGATCTTTAAGTGAGTGACAGTGGTTCATGACGATCTCTACATCTGGAGCTGACTAACTTTATATACTCGAGCACAAAAAAAAACATTCTGCAGAGATATATTTTTCAGTTGTACTCATTTCCTGGCAAATTTATTTTGCTGACAACGGCTCTGCTTTGTTCTCATCGATAAAGCCCTACTTTCTGTAATGGAAACAGAGGAAATGCATTTAGTCAAAACAATGCCGCGTTAAAGAGTTTACTCGCACAAAGAAAACCAACTTACCGAAATTGCATATAGATTGTAAATAGGGTTAACGCAAACTTCTTCTCTTTGGTCATCTGTAGTATCATCCTCGCTGTGGTTGTCGATTTGACCGTTGATGCTGCCATTGCTATAGGCGTTCTGCTCGCAGATGTATCCGTTGGCTAGAGTCAGCTCACTGTCCTGAGCAGTATATAGCTCACTCTGGCTACCACCCAGAATCTGCCCTCTAGTGAGAGCATCGCCTTGATCCGAAGTGAATCTCTGCTCCTGGTCAGTACCGTTCTCCTTACTTGAATCCAAATTTTCTTTGCTACTGGAGAGTTTGTTTTTGCCCAGTTGTGGTAGCCGCAGACGCCCTTTACCTCTTCCTAAAGTCCTTGGGCTACTATTTGGGCTACTGTTTTTACTTGAAGGACAGCTGGCTCCACTCTTCCTCCCCAAAGATGGAGATGCTAAAACAGAAAGCATGTGGACTACTAAGATAAGTAAACACATAGTCTAGATTTTTTTTTTTTTTAGAAGTGGGTTGGTTTTTATTTTTTGCATAACCAAACATTAAAAAACACTGTTTCACTACAACTATTAAGTAGTCTATAAAAATCTTTGCACGCACACAATACGCTACATTTATAAACTGAAACGTGGAGGAGCACCTGCCTCACTCGAGCAGATAGTGCCGATATCAGTTGATAATGATTAATTATTTTTCTTTTTTTTTATTATTATGGTAAAGCTTCACTAAGCTTTCCAGGGCAAACAACAACAGAAATGAGTGTTTCAGAATCAATATAGTGCTTTAACCAAAGAAACATTAAATCTTGTTCCTAATTATGTTTTTCACCCCCTCCAAATATCCGTATTGACCGGAATTTTCCCTAACTACTACCTACCTTTGATATTATTCAAGACAGTAGTGTTAAGGGAGGATGGACTTCTGTTCAGTGTATCTCCTTCTCCTGGCGTGTAGGTGGCCTGCAGATCTGTTTTTCTAGCCTCCCCTTGGAGAGTCCGTGGTTCAGGAAGGCTGTCAACCTGGAGCGTTAGCTGCTTTCTTTGAAAATTACTTGGATCCCTTTGTACCAAAAAGGCACTTGGGTCAAAATTTTCTCTGGGAAATTTAACAATTTTCTGAGATTTAATCCAGCGGCCATTTACAAACTGAAATCTTTTCAGGTGGATGATCTAAGGAGAAACATGTTAGAGAAAATTTAAGGAGGACAATTACGTCACAGTAACTTCACTGTTTGAAGATAATTTTTCCTGAAACATACACATTTTAGCACACGCTAATTGAAAACAGTAACGTTGTTTTAATGTGACAATTGGGATTTTGGGATCAAGCTGGTAAAATACAGAACAAATATTTTCATGGGGAAACGATGGAAAGGGTTGCTTCAGTGATTCAGCACTGTGTTTTGAACAACCTACCAAATTTGAAAAGCAACAAGTGCAGGTGTTACACAACTAGACAAAAGATCATGTTACCAGAAAGACTGCCTGAGCGTGAATCCTATGGCAGAACAGATGACACCGAACACAAAACACCACCATTTCCTGCAATGTGTCAGCTAAAAAGATTCAAAAGGATTAGTGGCTTGTTTTATTTGTCTGCATTACAAAAATGCACGAAGCAAACGGAGTCAATGCCCCTCTCCTGAGACTGTCAGCAAATCAGCACAAGGAGACGTACCTAGCAATTCAAATTTGTGATCAACGTGCTTTGGTTTTGTTGCCGTAGAGGGAAATTACGCAAGATCATACCAAAATAGGGGGAAGCCTCCACAGATCCAGTTTTTTGGTGGCCAAACAATGGGTCTTGCATTTGGAACAGTAGTACATCTCATCCTCTCCCAGCTCCTCCTCACTGGTGAAGGCTCTAAGACAGCTATCGAGATTGATGGGCTCTGCTTGAGCTCGTCGGCTTTGTTCAACACTTTCATGTTCTTCTACAATCTGAAGAGAGATAAAACTGTATCTGACTCGGAAACATAAACCACTGCTCAGAGGAATGTTCGATTCACCGTATCATACTAATAACATCATACAGTCATTTAGGATTAAAGATAAAAACTAGATGCACTAAGTTTTAGCCGAAATTTAATTTCAGTTATGAAGAGGCAGACATACAAATAATGCTCCACCCTTATTCTTGGGTGCTGTTTACAAAATTATCCATAAAGCACAAGTTTACAGATTTAACTCACAAATTTGAACAGTTATTCGAGATTAACTCAGCTATAGGCTTACCTTTAGTTAGGTTTTGTTGACTCCAAGGAGGAAATAGGTTTGCTCACATGAATAACTGTTTATAGCACTGGTATGCTTAGAAAATGTATCCTATTAGCATATTTTGTAATATATTGTGGAGACTAGATCAAAAGCAATTCACAACAGACAGAAAATACACTGTTGTGGTTTCTTAAAAGCTTCCCTTCCATATTATGGTCACATTAAGACATGAATTTATCTAGAATATACTGTTCAATGATTACTGGCTTTAGTTTAACAGAAAATGGACAAAAGAAACATTGACTGTGGAAAAAAAAATAAAATTAAGGGTTTCACGGAATGGATTGTGCTTCAGGGCTATTAACGAACAACAAAGGGTCTGCACTGAAATTTTACCCGTTCTTGCGACGTCTGGTAGCGCAGATGGAGAGCGGTTGGATCCCAGTCTACAGCAATGTAGGCGTTCCCAACACAAGCCCTATCTTCTGTGCACTCAATTTTACAGCCACGGCAAAATCTACATCGAAAAGTTAGATGTGGTAAGTAAACTGTCCCAAACTAAGTTTTCTATTACTTCACACTCCGGTTCTGCTCCTTATTTTGTAACATCTGCAGCCCCAAAGTCTCAGGCCTTGCCTTCAGCGTAAGGCAGACATTTTCATAAAACAATGATTCGTGTCAGTTTGCTATTTTACTTCAAAACTTTAACAGAGACGAGAAATTGAAGCGGTTGGGTGAGCTCATCCATCCGACCGACCCTACCTACAACACCAGAACTGCAATGTTTTGTCTCCACAAGTATTTCACAACATGGGATGTACTTTATTTATCTAGCTGCAAGAGACTTTTTAAAAAAATAAGCATATGGTCTGAATACCTTCCCAGCAAGTCTGAAAACAAGGTCTTTGGGGAAAATTCCGAGTGTGCTTCCAGGGTGAATTTCTTATCATCCATTTTACTTTTTACTCTTCAAATGGCACAGGAACTAACCAGGGTAGACGATTTCCTATCTAAAAGTTTGGGGGTTTACGAAAACCCCACCAATCCTCCAAATAGGAACACATATGTGTCTGCATATGTACACACACACACGCAGATTATTGGGAGGAGTTAGGAGGTTTTTAATACTGTCGTGTTTGTTTCCTAATTTAAAGTTTCTGTGTCAGCGGAGCTTTCAGCTCTCGAAGTCATAAAAGCTGTTCTACAGTGGAAGCCTGCCATGTGAGGGTTTGGGTTAAATTAGATTCTAGATTCTTATTGTTTGATATTACCTCTGAATCTGAAACATCTCAGAAACGCATTACCATAAATTACATTTCTGCTGGTGTGATTCCCTTCCTTAAATCTTGAAAAGGACAATTTACCTGTACCATGGACACCAAGCACAAGAATTTCCATCCTTCTGAACTACCCTTAAGGTGAACGGATACTGATAGCCCATGCTATCATCACTGAAACAGAGGAGAACACAACATGAAACACGAGCACTCATTGACTGCCAATTACCTTCCTTCACCATGCTTGCCATGTTTACTTAAAAAAACCCACCCAAAAACGCCCCTTGAAATTCTAATTTTTATTAGATTAAACTATTAAACAAAACCTGCCTTTAGATCACCTAAATTTGTCAGATATAATGAATTATCAGTCACTGGATGAGCACAAACAAACCAAATCATGTAAAGCCAATCCTTAAGTGCAGCTAGAAGGTATGCTACATTTAACTGCATTAAAAAGGATTAGAAGTTATTTTTAATTACCGCCATCATTAAATTGCAGGACTCTAAAATGATTTCTTACCAAAAAAAAACCCACACCACTAAATGGAATCTGCAGGCAGAAAGCGTCTGGAGTAAAAGCACAGACAATCATTCCTGAAGTTGTTGACATTTAAAGCTTAGCTATACATTAAAAGGCATATGTTCATTCAACAGAGGCATTACGAGAAGTCAAAACTAATAAAGCTGAAGAACGAATGGATTTTCAAATCTTTTAAGCCGCTGTAAACTCAAGCCAAAGACTGAGATGCCAAACTCACCAGTCTTGGGCATGATTACTAGCTTCCTGAGGCGGGAGGGGGCTAGCAAGCCTGGAAACCTGGATCCACACTGCATCGTACAGGTCTTTTTTCCGTGTATGAACTGTACAAGGAACAATTAGTGGCATTCCAAAGAGACTGGGACGATTCTTCTGAGATGAAAGAAAATATAATTCTGTCCGCATCTGCATATGTCGAATAAAAAAAAAAAAGACTCAGATATAAGTACGTATTAACTCACGTTACCGTAATTACTAGGATGTTGACCTTGTTACTTATTTCAGGCCTTGGCAATTAAAATAAACCATTAATTCTATTAAAAGTACTGCGTTTCAGCCATTGTTTCCAATATTCAATACTGGAAATTTTGATCATTCACTTGAAATTGCCTGAAAACTTTTTTCTATGATATTATGGCAATGTTATTTAGGCACTAGACCACACCAAACATAAACCTGTGTTTCAGCCACGTACAATATTTCGCTTTTCATGTGGTATTTCTTACATTTCCCACCACATGGTACTACCGTAACGCAGACATGCAGCTAATGATGCTAATACCTGCCCCAAAACACCCTCTGCCCAAGGCAAGCTCATGTTTGGTAGAGAAAGAAAACCCTTACGTCTAAAGGAGGCACTACAGACTTGTACACAACTTATTCCAAGCAGACAAACTAACCTTTAAGGCTACATCTCCCATTTATAAGAAATATTTACTGTCTCAACTTAATGACACTGAGGTACAGCAAACAGCTTCCGCCTTGCATAAGTTTTATACAATTAACCCTTTCCACTGATAAGATTTTTGACAATGGCAAGCACGGGTTCCTGGAATAGCTTCCACAAACAATTTTTAGTGGTTTTTAAGCTGTGTAACTAGCAGCTTGCAATGGCTCAACAGCATTATACCAATCACCTCTGAGATTCTGCAAAACCTGAATCAACAGCGATAACAGTGCTTAGTGGCCATTACTTGAGAGAACAAAGCAAAAACCCCTCATAAACACAGAGAGTGAAGAGGGAAGTTAACAGCCTCCTGGCCCACATTCCCCCGGCTCTAAATGCCAGCGGACTAAAGCCTGGACACAGCACACGCAGAACGTGTGGCTATTTGAGGTGTTCAGTCATCCGGCTTTGACATTTAGAGTTCAGCTTAACTACAGATGCTTTTACGGAGAGTAGTTCATGCTAACAGAATGCCCCAGGAATGGACTATTTATCTTCACTCTGCTTCCGTATAAGAAATAAGGCTTTTCCACATAATGGGAAAGAAATGCATTTCTAGTAGCTCCTCTAATTAGAATTTTTTCTGCTCAAAGAGTCTGGAACATTTAATCAGGGAGTTAGCGAACGCCCAAGTATGCATCTCGGCATTAAAAAACCGGGAAGCATGCCAGTACTAAGGAAAGAAAAATACACCATTAGACATTACTATTTAAATTTACAAGAGTTGTGTTTCTGTAGAACTTGGCGCTCACTTAAGAAGAAAATATATTCATGCTCCCTCTTCTTAAAGAAATAAAGATTAATTTATCATATGGACATTAAAAAAAAAATAAAAAATCCTCGCTGACTTTCTTTCAAAGTGTGTTACGTGAGCCATTTATAACAAATGCAAAAGCTACTCACCATTTTTCTGTGGACTGCAATTATATACCCTGTACATGGACTATCAGGCAGCGAGGGCACGTGGCCGTTGAGAGTCCAGTTGGCAAGGTTACGCTCTGTTCCACATGGCACTACAGTATTTGGCATTCCGTTTGGAATTAGGGTTGGTTTAGGAAGGTCCCCGTTCATCATTATATTGGGTGCCCCATTAGCTGATGGCCCCGTTGAGACATCTGTAGGTACATAATTACATTCTCAATTACCTACAGTAAGCAGAACTGATCACGAGACTTTTCACCCTTTCCTTTCTGTTCAGTGCATTTTATGAAATACGTCCTACTCTCCTTAAGAGCAACATCTAAACTTTGCAAAATCAGAGCATGCAAGAGCAAAGAGTAACAGAGGTGTTTACAACCTATACATGAAACCACAAACAATAAAACCAAAACCATGCTTCCAATTTTTTGTATGTCCTGCCTTAGAGCCAATCCACAAGTAATAAAATACTTTGTGTGTTTGTGTCTTTAACTAAAGTAAGTATATAGCAATCTTCAGGCTGTTATCCTGGGCACAATCCTAAAAAAAACCAACCCACTCACAGACTATCAGTAGATACCAAGACTGCTCTAATTTGTCTTCTCTTTAATCCTCACTCTTTACCTATGATTAGGAATTAAGGTTTTCTCCTGAATTTCTCCAGTACCTAAACCCTGGGCATTTTAAAAGAACAGGAAAATAAAGATGTTTTCTTTTACCTGTCTGCACAGGACTTGATGCTGATGTAGGTGATCCTGGAATCGGTATTTCAAATGCACACAAAAACCCACTCACTGATAACCGGACTTTCTGGTTGTCTTGAGGAAAGTTCTTCAGGAAAAAAAGAGAAAGTTAGTCAGACGTGTATATACTCCTACCTGTGACTCCGAACACGTGTTGTTCTTTTGAAAATGGTGTATCCAACAGCTTATCTCTCCCCTCCCATCTGCTTTCTTACACCTTTCTAGAAGGTAAAAAGGGAGCCAACGCCTTTTTGTTGAGTTATTAATGGTTCTCTAAAGACACTGAGAGCACCCAGTTTCAAGCAGTTTTAATCCCGTTCAGTGACAGCAAAAAACATTAAATATATACACACAGAGTAAAGCCGGTCATTACTTATGCCTCCAACGTCTCAACAGTGCTTAAACTCAAAGCACTCCAACTTGAGATTTATTACCTCAAGATGATTTTATCCTTTTTTTTTTTTTTTTCCCCTAAAAATATAATTAGTAATCAATTCAACTAAATTTCTGCAAGCTTCTACATGACTATTAATTTTGTTTACAAGTGGTTTATTTTGGTTCAGTTTACTTTGATTTTAAATCTATTTAAAAGCAAGCCGAATTATGGTTTAAGAATGAAATAAAAGTTAATGCAGAGATAGAATTAATCTTTTTAATCACATGTTCAGTTAAATTATTTCACAGTTCCTGCAAGCAAAGCTTAATGTGAAAAAGAATGAGGTATGCCACGATGCAAATAACAAACACAAATACCAGAAGTATGTTGCAGCAATTATTTTTTTTCCCCTTACCTTTATATTGGAGCTATGCACTTCTGCAAGTAGAATCTGTTCTGGTTTTAGCCCACAGAGTTCACTTAACTGTTTTTTCAAACCTGTATACTTCTCATCCATGTTCAATCTCAGGCCGTACCGAACAGGAGTAGTACCATCTAATTTAATTACTTTAAAGGGGAAAAGAAACACACTGGTCAGCAAACCAGGAAAGTTTTAATGAGAGTAATACATTACAGCTACTTCTTAGAAAGTATTTTTTTTCCTTACTTGAAGATATGATTTTTATTTTTTTTTTAAACCAGCCAATTTTCAAGGTCTGCACACAAATGTCAGAAAACCTCTTGCTGCCTAAGCAGTAGAAAATGGTTTCAAAACTTGTTTCACTTCTTTATCATCGTTGCCTCTTTTCCAACAATGCATTGGTTCTTCGCAGAATAGTTCATGACCTATAAGTTAATTTTTGTTTGTACACTCCCCCCAACCCTTCTCTTTTGCTCTAGACAGATTTAGGACAAACTCCACAACACAGTGAACCAAAGGAAAGTTCCTCAGAATCTCCATTTTACAAGTTTCTGTATTAAGTCCTTTAGTCAAGACTAAAAACGGGCCATCTATGCTGGTTTTCAAGGTTTTATTTAATTTAACTGTATTCCAATGAAAATTCTTGTACTCTATTATAATGGTTATAATATTTTTAAATGTAAGTACCAACACAAACAAAGTTTGGATGTTTTATAGCTATTGAAAATCTGTTCTACATATACAGTTCTTATTTTAGCACTGCCAAGTTTATAGAGAGTTAAATGCCACTACTCACCTGTAATTTCTAGGTGCATGTAGCTATCCATTGGCAAAGGCAAGGATAAAAAGTTAAAAGGGTCAAATCTAACGCTTATATGTCCACAAGTTTTACATTTTACTTGTGACTTCAGCTGCCCATGAAATAAATCTACAACGATGGATCTGTTTCTTCTCAGATGGTTTTCCCAGGCCTAAAATGAAGTACAAAACCCAATACAAAGTTAGAAACTGAAGACTACTTGCTGGAACTACAGGAAGGAGGATATGCTGCAAGACCTCCAAAGTTTCATTGGCCTATGGGAGTCAAATTATTTTCATAAAAGTTGTTTACCAGTTTCTAATAAATAGGAGGTATTTAGTTTCAACACAAGTAAAGTTATTTCAATGAACACAACAATCAAGGTATGACATCATTTAAAGTACTTCTGAAAGGATCCATCGGGTATCTTGAAATATTTTGACACTCTGTAATTCTGAGGAGTTGCCACAATGATTGTGAAGTATCACATTCATGCTCCTATTACAATATTTAAAACTAATAATTGACTCCTTGGATCACAGACCCAACAAGTTCCCAAAGACAGTACAGTCCTGGGAGAGTATTGCCACAGACAGCCTCATCAACAACTTAGCAGCTTAGGGCTATAAGGAAAAAAGAAAACAGCAAACAAAAAAAATCCCAAACCCAAAATTTTTAAACCCATACCTCTGCTGCTACTTCCCAGTCTGGTCGACCATCACTGTCTTTCAGTTCAACATATGGCTTATCATGAACTCTGTTCAAATCTTCATGAAGACCATCCAAAAGAAAAGCCAGAAGCTCCTGCGAGTCTTGCTGTTGAAAGCCATTAAATCTTGGAGCATATTTTGCTATTGTCCACTACAAAGAAAACCCAACACAAACCAACCCGGAAGTTATTTAACATCAGGTAACAAAAATTGTACCAATAAATCAAAATACTGTAGACAAGAGACACGCTGTCAATGAGCACAAATTCAATTGCCAAGAGTTAAAGGTAACCCCCATGCCTGCAGAATAAGAGACCATCTACAGGCAAATGCACAGTCTTTTGTCCCTAACAAGGGCTAGAGAAGTCACATCTTATATCGGCCACCTCTAATTCATATCAGGTAACTCCTCTGAGCTTACAGCCGCTGAACCATGGTTGTACTCCACAGAGAGCTGCTCGAGTCCTGAGCACCAGGACTGATGAACCCTGGGCTCCTCCAGGTGTGCACCTTGCCCCTGCACAGCCCCTTCCTGAACACTTCCCCTCCGCTCCTTGTAGGCAAGAAAGCAAAGTGTGTGACCTGTTTGGAGCGACACACGTGATAACTGATTGCCCAGGACATGGCCACTGGCCTCAGAGCCAACTTCTAACGTGTGAAATACATGTCCGTGCTTCCTTCCCTTTCTCTAGGGAAGATTCTGGGTTGAGACCCAGAACCATTACAATAAAGGTAACATCAGGAAAAAGCACATTACAAGATTTCTGTTATTCAAAGAAGTTCTTGCTTTCTACCTTTAAGTAACAGACATCACAGACTTACCCGCAGCTTTAACGGTGCTATATTCTTCTGAGTTCCACTCCACAACTCCTGAACCAAATCCCCATAGCACTTGGCCATGTGTCCTTTCATGCCTATTGGATTTGTCCTAGAAATCATCAAGTAATTAATACCACACTAAAATTTAAACAAAGTTCAAACATGGGGTAAAACAAAGAAGGGCAAAGGCTTCTTGCTGAACTGTTTTAACTCCCAGACACAAAAGAGTTTGTGTTTTCACGTAACCCATCTAGTGTCTGCTGTAGGGCTGATGGTTGATGACACTGAGCTTAAAAGGATTTATTCACATTGCCTACTTCTGAAAGCTGAAACTCATTTTAAAGAAATGTTACAGCGTCTAAAATGCCGAAGGCCTCAAACAGAAAATTACCTGTTAAGTTCATAAAGGTGCCTTCCTGAGATGAAATAGCGCGTCAGAGGTTGCGTGTTACTGACACACTGGATACTGGAGTTCATGAAGCACGTGTTACCCAGATTGCTCAATCCAGTGGCACCCTTTTCAGTGGGAACTGAGATAAAGAGAACATAATTATACCAACCGTGCAGAGATGAAAAATTCAGAGTGGTGTATCAGTGAAGTTAAGAATATGACCTTTTCACAGTAACCAATTCCATTTAACCTGCTCCTGATTATGAGACTGCAGCTAGCACAGATGCAACAGGCCTGTTCAAAACGTCTGCTCCTCTCAACAGAAGTGAACAGAAACGGAGATTATTTTGTTGGATCTGATCCACCACAGACATCAGCACAAGCCGTACAAACTATTTTCAGGTAAATTATTATGGTATTGAAATTTCGGGATTAATTTGTTAAAATCTTAACTATTCATTATCTTAAAAAAATCCAAGATAATAAACACAAAATCCAGAATTTGCTACGTGCCATTTGCTACTGCTGCATCTGAACATCTATAAATTTATCTATCTGTACATCAAACCCTTCCACATTTCCAGCATCTGACTTAATAAAACAGAAAGAACAAGCAAAGCGGCAGAGGCATAAAAGACCTTTTCCAAGGTTAAGAGCACTTATATTAAAAAGAATTGTTTCAACAAAATACAGCCTTCCGGATTTTTCTTCTCATCACAATTCAATTACTATGCTGAAACACTTACCTTTATGTCTGTCTATTTTACTGCTGTTTGCTATAAAAGACATCTCCTCTGGCCAGCTCATGTCTTTGTTTCGAACTAGAAAGAGATATGGTATAAGGATTTTTTTAAAATTGTTTGTAACTTACTCCTGAGAGCTTATACAGCTGAAGAGGTTTAATATAAATTTTCTAATATTTAATTGAGATTAGAAATTTGCTTATTTGTAGTTGTTATTTTTCCTAATTTTCATTTCAATGTTGCCTAACGTTATTGGAAATCATTCTAATACTGGCATCACTCCAACCATGCCAGTAACATCGTTAAAAAAGCAGCCTGGAGATTTCTTTCCTGTTGGGTAACATTTTTTTTCAGAACTTATTCTAATACTTAATAAGGAGGCCCCAGATTTGAACAAATCTATTCACTTTGTGAGTGATCATTACTATTTTTTGTTGTTACGAACCAACAAAAGATTCAAGTGTATTTCAAAACAGGGACAAATTACATGTGTTTCAAGATAAAGTGGGTCCAAAAAAAAATATGTAAGCTTTCCTAAGTTATCTGTACCACTGCGTTCCCATAGGATCCCTCTGTAAATCTCTATCTTGCACTGACACAAGCCATACAGCACACTGGCTTAAGGAACCTGGCTGAAGAGAGGAAAAGGGAGTTATTTTTCACCAGATCGCCTCTCACAGCGAGTTCCTCAGATGGGTGCCACGCAGTTGTCCACGGGTAAAGGCAAATGGCATAAATAGAGGCAGGGTGGACCGCAGCTTTCAGTGGCAGTGCTGTCTTAATGCTGGTTTGGTTATTGAACTACGGCCTCGGGGTTCTGTTTCACCTGACAGACCAAGGTCCCAGTCCTTCTCCCCTCCCTCTACAAATTCCCGTTTCTTCTCTTGCATCTAGTGATTAATGCAGCTACACAACGAACTGCAGCAGCCACTCTGCCAACTTTAAATTGATTAAATACGAGCTGAGCCAAGTGGCAAAGAATATCAGTCCATCTAGCACGCCAACCTGAGGTGTAATATTAAACTATCCTCAGTGAAACTTGTAGAGAAACAAGGCGAGACCCAGATCTTGCTTCTGTGATGTAAGGACAGCAGTAGAGTGGATTAAGGATGTACACTTCTGCTTCTCACATTAAAAAAAATCAACCAGAAAGGTCAAACTAGTTGAAAACTCAGCCGCTCCCTGCACCCTGATACCTCTGACGAAGGCTGATGGTATTTGTGACTGATGGCAGTGCCTAGCAAAGCAGCACATGGCAGGAGGGGGAGACACAACAGACAAACTGAAACAACAACGGTTGAGATTGTTCATGATGCCTTTTTGTTGTGACAAGAGTCAGCCAAGCAGTCAAGTCCAAAGGTGTTAGGTTCTCTCCAGATGTGAAAATAACGGCAGCTTGTAATGAAAATCTTAGAAATGAACCTGACATGGACCGAAACATGCACTTTTCTTCACCTTTTGCTTTGTGAATAAAAATGTCTTCACGCAAATATCGTAATCTGAACTCTTGTAAAGTTAGGGAAAAGAAAAATGAGATCCTGATAAAGGCTCAGATGCTGCACACCACTTTTGTTAAATCTTTGGCATTTTAGCTATTGCTGTAGGGGCAGTGGATTATTTGAAGCTTTAGTCTTTCATCTTGCATTTCTTTCAATACATACAGATAAAGAGACAGACAACTCTTTACACATACTCTTCCTTCTCAAAACATTTCCAAAAATAACATATTTGGGCAGAAGGCCTATATATTTGTGTCGTTTGGGCAGTTACAGAAATGGGTACTACACATGATTTATTAACCATATAAATACCTACAGAAAAATATTCATTTTTAGTATGTAAACCAGTGATAGGCCCTTTTTATACCTTCTATTACTAAATGCTGCTCATCTTGGATTTTAAGATACTCCAGTCTGTGATCTTCATCATCCAACAAAGTAAGATAGTTCTGCAGGAGAAAAAATACTCCGTATAGTTATTACTTCTAGATTTAAAATCCTCTGAGGATACTTTAATCTTGAAGCAAAGAAATTAAAACAGTGTTAACTTCACGAAAATGAGAGCACCAGTTTCCTACCTATGTTAATTCAATACAGTAGTTCACTGATCTCCAGAAGCGTGTAGTTCATTGTTTTAATTTTATGTGGCATTTCTTTAGAATGGAAGAATTACATGCACTTGATGATTCGGAGGGATACATTCTGCTTGTTCATTGTGATTTCTTAACATACTCGTTTGAAAAAGATCCTGGATGGTGGTTGGCTTCTGTGCCAACAGAAGCCTAGAGCATCATGCGTGTCGAAGAAAGGATGTATTTTTATTTCCATTTAAAAGTTTCTATGAAACTTCCTATGAAGTCTTTTAATAGGTCAACCAATTGCCAATTTTTAAATACATCACAGGATAATTAAATGTTTCTCAGGCTACTAGAAAAACAAGAGATAAATTTTCTGGATCATTAACTCCAAAATCTAAATTTCACTGCTTGTGAGTGCATAAAAAACCTCTAGAAAACAAGTGGCAAGAGTTTTCCTGCCTGGACAGTTAAACTGCAAAGGAAAGTTAAGTCTACTGGTTTTTCTTTAACTACACGTGCACAGGGAAATAGTTTCTAGAAAATAATAAGATACACAATATTCAATAGGTGATTACAAAAAAAAAAAAAAAAAAAAAAAAAAAAAAAAAAAAAAAAAAAA